AGCAGTTCGACGAGACTCCAACCGCTTGGACAGGCCGTCGAGATCAGCCTGAGTAGCCATGAGTGCACTGACGAGCTCTCTAGCAGCAGCCTTATTCTGTATAAGGCCATAGTCACTCAACATGTCGACAAAGCTCCTTGCCAGCGGATCAGTCGTAACGCCCTGAAGTTCCTTCGCCTCATCTTCCACCTGTTTTGCATCCTTCTTATCATCGGCCTCCTCGTATCCCATAAGCCTGTCTGCTACCTCCCTAATGCTCGACATGTCCTGGAACATGCTGTTGACCAATTCCTTACCAGCCTTCTTGCCAGTGACGAAACCAGACTTGCTCAGGAAGTCGACCATAGCATCCTTAGCTTCCTTCTCAGAGGAGACCTCTTTCTGCATGCGTACAACTTCAGGCTCATCGCCCGAACGCTGAACCATCTTCTCACAGTTGACCGTCACCTGAGGCTTCTCCTCGACAACCTGCTTGTCACCACCCTTACCCTCCACAGTTACTGACTTTTCCGAAGCAGTCTTTTCGGGAATGTTGCTAGTGGCCTTCGCATCAGCAACCTTCTCAGGAGCCTTGTTGGTAGCCTTCGAATCAACAACTCCTTCAGAACTCTTAGTGACATTCTTCGAGTCAGCGGCATTCTTATGGACCTCCTTGGTAGCCTTCTTCGTCTTGAGCGAATCGGCAACTTTACCCATATCCTGGTCGGCTGCTGCCAAGCAATCAACCAGACGCAAGGCAGATAGTGGGTCAATAACATAGTCCAAACCATCAAGCAGGTCAGCAACCGCGAGCGCTTCCGAATCCAGAGGAGTAAAACTCGGCGCCTCTTCACTGTAAGCGTCAACATAAATGTCGATAACAGGAACAGACTTGGTGGCTTTTCCCTGGGCGTCAGCGAGAGCTAGAGCGTCAGATAGAGAGAGATCATTGAGGAGACAGAGCTCGTCACTATCGTCCATATAGAACAAACGATAGTCACGGAATTGGAGCTCACGCCAAGCCTTCTCAACATAGCTGCAGAGTTGGTCATAAGATTGACAACTTTCAGGGTCCACTCTCACACGGATCGTCTCCGAATCGGAGTGGAGTTTGAGGCATAACACACTTGATGACATGAATATACGATGAAATAATTCTATTAAACTACCATTAAACAAAGTGTTACACACAGTTCTCCAATGCGTCTAAGCACTCATTATCGTTGACGGATGTACAGACCTTATTAATGAACTAATCATGTTTTATTGAGCAGCTCTTTTATAGCGTACCGACAGTGACATATGTCACAATAGGACACAACTGGTGGCTCTCAATGCGATCGTCAGCGTATGTGACAGCTCGGGAGTATCATATCGACAGGGCATTTCCCATCAATAGAATGAAGAATAGGATATAGGAATGAGACGGATTGAGGAGCCTAGGCAGCAGACGAGTGGGGAGGCCTATTAAATGCAAGCTGCCCCCATTGAGAGGATCTTGCGCTGTCTACCTACTTTGTGAAGTCAACCTCAGCCATCTCAGCTAAGACAGCATTGAATGTGTCTGGTGGAGTTTATTTGAATTTGTCGACTTGCTAATGTCAATAATTACTCGGTGGTTATCTTCAAGTCTCAGTTGAATTTTCTTTCATTAACACTTTTGAAATATGTCTAACAATCTAGTTCTCAAACTCCGTACCAGAACCCAGACCATGCGAGTTAGGGTTGACTCCGAGAAACTGACCGATATGTACCAGATCAAAGACTATATTGAGCAGTCTTGGACTCAGTTGAAGGGCAAAGACTACCGTGTCTATTATGTAGATGAGTTCGGAGAGATGTGCCTCCTGAATGATCTGTCTTTGGGTGATGCTATTGCAACGGTACAAGAGCTCAATATGTCGGCTAAGAATATCCCTGTGTTGGATTTGTTCATCCAGGCTGAAGGGGAAGAGGTTCCGCTATCATCAAAAAGTCAGTCAGACGATGATGGTGAGATTGCTCGAGAAGTTGATGTTGCTAATACTCTAGCTCAAGTGTTGGACGATATGGACTACATGGACAGTCTCGATGTTGCTGAGCAGTTTGTTGAGGGTTTGGTAGCAGCTGATTCTGACTTGGATGCTATCTTGGATCAGCTAC